TGAGACTAAGAGTAGGGGCTTGCTTGAATCCCACACAGCACCTGGCACCAGACAAGGATGGGAATGTGAGCAGACAAGGATGAGTGGACGCACGGGTCCGGAATGCAAAGGGGCGTATGCCATGACCTCGCTCCTAGACCTAGCAGCAAAGGAGAATCAAAGGCCGCCCACCGCCCAACCCAGGACCACCAGCAATGCCAACGAAACCGCCCTGCAGGCAGGGGTGTGAGGACGCACAGGGGCCCTCTCCGCACAGACGCTCTGCCCACTGAGACTTAGACTTAGACTTAGACTGAGACTTAGCTACTGACTACAGACGTCATGGGGAATTCTGGGTGTGAGGGAGCCAGAGCACAGGGAAGGTGATGTACCTACCCGAAGCTCAGAACTTTGGGTAGAATAGCTGTCCACCTCTACAGAGCTGGCAGGGGGGGAGAGAGAAAGCTTCTTAAGACAGGACGTGGTACGATTAGTATGTTTTCAACAGAACTCTCCATACATGTCCTGAGGGCAACTTTAACCAGAGACATCTGCACCAAACAGCCAAGATTGCCCCCACCTATTTTAACACAATTACGTGAAAGTTCTCACAAATCAAATGCTCTAATTACTAGTCACAGGTCCTCATGCAGACTTGACGTAGGAAACTCATTTTTAAATGCAATCCACTGTGGTAGGACGCTTTTGTATTTTCCAGTTACAGGCTGTGTCTCAATGCTTTTTCAAATGCCTCCTCCCTAGGTGTGGCCAGGCGTCTTTGTAATGAGTGCTTTGAGGACACTTCTTGGGGGCATCATTTCCCTTGCTGTTTTACATGGCATTAAAAAACCAGGGACCCTGACTGGTATGTTAATCACGGGAATTTAAAAAGAAAAGAATCGGGGCGCCTGGGTGGCGCAGTTGGTTAAGCGTCCGACTTCAGCCAGGTCACGATCTCGCGGTCTGTGAGTTCGAGCCCCGCGTCAGGCTCTGGGCTGATGGCTCAGAGCCTGGAGCCTGTTTCCGATTCTGTGTCTCCCTCTCTCTCTTCCCCTCCCCCGTTCATGCTCTGTCTCTCTCTGTCTCAAAAATAAATAAACGTTGAAAAAAAAATTTTTTTTTTAAAAAGAAAAGAATCAGAGTGAAGGGCAAATCATCAGAAAGACAAAAGGGGCCAAAATATCGCCCAACACACTGCTTTTCCAGAAGAAAGGGGGAAAAGACCAGAAACGGCTTTGTGACAAAGTGAGAGTGCTGTCCTCCCTCGATGATGAGAGTCTGTGAAGCCGCAAACACACACAGTGCGGGGCTGAGCGATGCAGGAGAAGAAGGCAAGGACAGGGCAGGGCCCAGCCGCACTCACAGGGATTGGCTGAATGTTTCCGTCCTACCGCCCGCTGGACAAAAGTCTGTCATCAGCAGGATTCTGCGACCTGGATCTCAATCCCTTCTCAATTATTCTAGAAAGAGGAGCAGCTGTGGTGGGCGACCGACGACCACCTCTAAGCACAAATTTTAGGTGGACGTGTTTGACCACTAACACCAGGCACAAACTTGGGGAGGACGCAGTTCAGATCTACTAGAAAGTGTCACCGATGGGGACAGTTTAGCAGCATCAGCCCATACCTGGTTTGCTTTGTTAGCAATGGCCAGTTTTCTCCAACATGGTCTAGAGTCCACTCTTCCCAAAGCGTCCTTCCCCAGACCCCCAGCAGCATCTTATTCCAAAGTGAGAAACTCAGTCTGCGCTGCCTTGGGCGTGGGCTCTCCTCAGCTGCAAGGCCTTGGGCGTGGGCTCTCCTCAGCTGCAAGGCCTTGGGCGTGGGCTCTCCTCAGCTGCAAGGCCTTGGACTGCCCTCCGAACTTCAGCTGACTTCTCTGCCAAGGATGGAAGGAACCCAAGTTTCACCTAGCAAGGAGAGCTAAAGCCTGAGCACGTGCGGTCAGCTCCCAGGGGAGCAGGGCAGAAAGAATGTGAACGTGCCAGAGCACGGCTGCCCCCACACCCAGCACGAGACCCCAGGGCACACAGCCAAGGTCGGGGGTTCCAAAATGTAGAGCATGCTATGCGATGATTATCTCCAGCCAACGGGGATGCGTGTGCGTAGGGAGGCATCTTGACAATGCTTTGTTCGGCCCTACCTTCCTGAGGAAGTGTCACAACCCCGGTAGTGTCCAGATGATAGGGCACCACTGAGAAAAGAAGCTCCAGTCTCCACTTAAAAAAAATCTCATACGTGTTACGCAGGTCAGTTGGTCATGTGTGTTTTAGCGTTGCTGTGGGACATTTTATGCAGGTCCTATTTCTACGAGCACTGCTCTGCACAGCAAATTTCCTGTTTGCTAAAAACGACCGGCTTCCCCCCCGCCCCCAACTTTGGTCCTAATTTCAGTTTTTTACGAACCGGATAATCTTCCCCATCCAGAAGGCGAGACACTATTGAATACCTGTCATCTTCCTTCAAAATCTTGTCGTGGTTGATAAACAATTTCAGTCCCTTCTCCTCTTTCTCTAAATGGCATCTGAGAGACAAAATTATTACCTAGATCATAGTTGATTATTACCTTGTGTCAACAAAAACAGAATCCAAAAGTGTCGTTTCTATTGCAAAGGACAACAGTGTCATCCATTTCAAACGTCCGAAATAGTACCTCGGTGTGGTCAACCTTTCCACAAAAATTTCTAGTTACTTCCTCATTCTCCTCTGATTAAACAAGCCTCCCCGCAGATATCAGCATTGCCTCCTGAAACTAATTGTTTTGAACCGTATTTCCCTGAGCACAGCAGTACAGGAGGCTAGGCTGACAAACGGAACTTGCAGGGGAAAATGCATTCACCGTGCTAACAAACCTACCACAAAAGGACTGGTTACAAATGGACAGCACAGTGTGCTGCAAACAGCAGACAGACTGAATGAACTACACCAGCATAACTGACCAGACCGAAAGAGGCAGAGCAGTAGATTTTGGAAAGCGGTGTCTTATACCAGACATTTTGTAAAAAGAACGGAACGAGTGAATTTCTGAGGAAGTTCTGCAAAGCCTTACTTGCTACCTCAAAGCAGGGTGAAATCTGAAAGAAGGGGCAGACACTAAGAGGGAAAAAAAACCAAAAAGGGCCATGTCTTATCTTCCCAAAGGACACTAATCCTTGCTTCTCTGACCAGTTCAAAGGCTTGGATGACAGTTGCAAAGGGCAAACCATTTCGCTTGGTGTAACTGGCAAGTGGAGACCCCTGCTCATAACTGCTCCTGCAGGTCCCATGACAGAAGCCACATTCCTGGCTTCAGGGAGCAGCTATGTTTGCATCGAGAGTCGGAGGTAAGCATGCAGCTCATTTAGAAATTTAATAAATTACATTTTAACGAGACCTCTCAGTTTGCATTAATATTCATGAGACTCCCAGAACAGTTCTTTGGGCCTTTCATTAGAGGATAAGGAATTTATTTGACAACTTAACTTCTTGACCACCTGAGCAGGAAAAGTCCTGTCTACCAATGATACTTATGAATCCCAGGAGGTTTCTGAAATGGAGTCATTTCAGATTTAGGAGCTACATGCACTGTTCTCTGCAATTGGTGACCTCTATGGGGATTTACTTATTTATTTATTTTATACATTTACGGGAATTAATCTGGTTTCAAAGTGCCTGTTTCTATTCTGTGGCTTAAAAAAAAAAAAAAAATCAGTCTTATTACTACTGAATCACCTAGCAATAGGACCAGTGCAGAGGGCAAGGGGGGGTGGGGGGGGGGGGGAAGGACGTCATACTCACCGTTTAAGATGAACACATCATTTATATTTAGAATCAGATCGATCTGGAATCATTCCTCAGCTTTGTTCCTTATCCACTGTGTGACCTTGGGCAAGTGACTTAACCTCTCTGAGTTGTATTGTTTATTAGTGAATGCACATATCCTCCTCTACAGGGTTCTAGGCTACGAGCCCCTTAATGTATGCACACCTCCACCAGGTCAGCAGCCCATGTAAATTATGCAGGCATTTTTACAGTTCTGTGAGGGCTTCTGGAGGCTATGAGGTCAGAACACAGTAACTTAATACTGTTATGCAACAGGATGTGGAGGCTTTGGGTAGCCCTCAGGACAGTTCTCTCCGCATTTACGCACTGGGTGTTTGTCTTCTCTGAATTCTACCTGAACTTTTCACGGCAGGTGAACTTCCTGATGAGCATGGATTTCTCAGTCGAACCCCAGAGAGAGCACGTTGTAGAAGGATTGATAATCCCTGTGCTTTATCCAACTTTCAGGCCCTTGGGCTCAAAAGCACGGTGGGGTGGAGTTCTTGCACAGCCAAGCCCCTCCCCAAGTGATGCCGGAGCCGCAGGTCACTCCGGGCAGCCAGGCCACTTAAGAGGACTCGTCCACCTCCGCAGTCCGGGCATTTGAGGCTGGATAATGTGTCGTGGCGTGGGGCGGCGCTCCGGTGCACCGCGAGAGCCCCCACAGCACGCCCGGCCTCTAGCCCCCCCCACCCCCGATTCCAGCAACATCCCCCTCTACCTAGGTGCCCCCCAACGCCTCCAGACGTTCCGGTTTGAGGACCCCTGCCCAGTGGGATGCTACAAGCAAGGTGCGTGCACCTCGGCGCCCACGCCGACGGCCCCCGGGAGCAGGCCGGCAGGGACCCATCAGGCTGATGCGCACGTGGGGAAACTGAGGCAGGGCGGCGCTCCCGGCAAGCACAGCGGGAAGGACCCTTCACTCCCGCGCGGTGGTCTCCGAGCGCCGCCCCCACACGCGCTGCCCCTCCCCCCGCACACGCACTCCGTCCCCACGCGCGGCGCGGCCACCGGAAGTAGTGCCCCGGGCGGCGTCGACACTGCAGCCCCGCGCGCGTCCGGCCTGACATGGCCCCGGCGCTCCCGCCGCCGCTGCCCGCCTGGGGGTCCCAGACTCGGCCCCGCCGCCGCCCTCGGGCCTGAAAGCCTGCGCCCCCCCTACTCCCACCGCCCGCGTCCTCCCCGGACAGCCCTCGCGGGTGGCGGCCGCAGGCTACCCACCAAGAAGGAGGCCGTCCATGTCAAAGAGCAGGTGGGTGACGGGCCGCGGCGGGGGCACGGAAGCCGCCATTGTGCCAGCGTCACGGCCAGGTAGGGGCGGAGAGAGGTGCGCGCGCCCGCCGCCCCGCGCCCGCGCGCCCCAGGCCTCCGCGCGAGCCCGGAGCCGCTCTGCGCAGGCGCGCCCCGAGCCTCCGGGCCCTGAGCCGCTTCCGTGCACGCGCGCTCCGAGCCACCCTGCACGTCCCGAGCCGCACTGCGCACGCGCGCCCCTGGCGGTCTCTGGCGAGTCGTCGACTGCGCGCTCCGAGCCGCGCACGCGCGCTTCCGTCTCTCCTCTGTGTCGCGCGCGCGCGCGCGTGCGTCTAAGAGGGTCACCCAGTCTCTGCAGAGGAGCCGGGGTGCGGCACGGGCGGGCACGAGTATGGCCGCATGCACCCCCGCAAACGGGGCAGCGCAGCCCGACGACCTGCCGATGTGGGGGCAGATGCAGGACGAGATTGGAAAGGGTGGGAGGACGGAGGGAGAGCCTCGAAGGACGGTCCCTGGGGCAGTTGCGGGGAGGGCCGTAGAGGTGCTCAGGCGGGCATCACCGCGAGCCACCCGGTAAACGTGGAGCCAGATGGCCTGGTTATGCAGCCGTCCGAGCCCTGATTGGTCGTCCCGGGACCCTCGCAGATTTCCCCTTTCTGTTTCGCGCGCCAGCCGCCCTTTGGGCCCCGCCTGGCGCATGCGCAGTGGCCAGCGGGTCTGTCGGGTCTGCGGTCCCCCTGGCTTCATCACCGGCAGAGCATCCCCCCCAGCTGGTGCGTCCTCCCAAAATCAGCCGAAAACTATCAGATAGGAAACGGAGGAAGCAAAATTAGGGATGTGCCTTGCCGCCTTCGCCTGCTCATGCTTCACCTGCCTTTGTGGCTCTGAGGTTTTTTGTTTTTTTAAACCTTTTGCATTCTTTCTGAATGCAACCTGGAAATTTTTTTTTTTTTTCTTTTTGGCCACTCTCAAAGATACCTTTAGGTGTCCGTTTCTGTTTAGTGTTGGTGGCGTTGCATATGCATATTTAAGCATAAGGATAGGGCCTCTTTAAGGAAGCCGAAGTTAGAAAGTTCCAGAGACCGTAAGACCTTAAGGATGTATTTCTGGTGAAGTTCCAAAAGTCCGGTGTGACTTGCGTGGATTGGGTAAGCGGAGCAAGATGATAGGCAAGGAGTCTCTGTGCCTCGCTTTCCTTGGGCATGAAAGATGGATGTTTAAGGAGACACGCGGGTCAAGCAATCCCTTAGTACTAGCAAATAGTATATATTCAGTTAATTCGTGTCTTTTAGAGCTGTTGCTGTGACAGGTTATGATTTCTTTTTGAGGACAGAGAAGGCAGTTCAGTTAGTGAGGGGACTGTGCTCAGCTGCTGTAACAAAGAGGCTGGGTGGCCTGAACAACACACATATGTTGCTTACAGTTCTGGAAGCCAGGGGTTGGAGAACAAACAGACAACAGGGGTCAATGCCTTCGGAGACGTTGAGGACAGGATTGTTCCGGGCTTCTCCTTGTCTTGTACATGGTCTTCTTTTTTTTTTTTTTTTTTCCAACGTTTTTATTTATTTTTGGGACAGAGAGAGACAGAGCATGAACGGGGGAGGGGCAGAGAGAGAGGGAGACACAGAATCGGAAACAGGCTCCAGGCTCTGAGCCATCAGCCCAGAGCCTGACGCGGGGCTCCAACTCACGGACCGCGAGATCGTGACCTGGCTGAAGTCGGACGCTTAACCGACTGCGCCACCCAGGCGCCCCATCTTCTTATGTCTTTATATCATCTCTCTGTGGGTCTGTTTCTGTGTCCAAATTTCCCCTTTGTGTGACGACTGCAGCTATAAGGGATTACCTATCCTAATGACCACGTTTTAATTTGATTATCTATGTAAAGACTCTGCCTTCGAAAAAGATGATCTTCTGAGCCTCCTAGGGGTTAGGACTCCAACATTATACGTGTCATATATAGACACACGTGTAGACATCACTGCAGTTGCAGAGGGACAGGGGGTCGTGTGGACTTCTCTCCACAGATGTAAAAATGTGATTCAAATAATTTTTTCTTTGAATTTTATATATCTCTTGGATATGACGGAAGATATCCCTTCATTTACAAAAACAAAAGAAAAAAAAAAAACCCAGAAACAGATCCCAAGAACCGTCGTGTTTGTGACAAGCTAGATTGGGGGGGGAAAAAAATGAAAACAGGTTCACACCTGAAGTGGTTTCTATGCATGTAACTAAATGCACTTTGATGCTTCTTCTCCTAACAGTCAAAGATAGAAACAGAGCTTCTGGGAAGAGAGAGAGGATGAATTTCCTTTCACAAATTACAATTTATGTTTGCAAAATTGTGTTTTCCCCGTGGGATGATGTCTTACTTTTCCCGACAAGTTTAAAATGCGGCAGACGATCCGATCAACTGTAGTGCGGTGGCGTCCAAAACACATCCACAAGTGATCGTACAGATTGAAAATCAGGATCCTCTCCCACACCATGAACATGCATGCTAAAGCAAAAATGATAGATATGTCTCAGCGTATCTCAGCTTCCTCGTCTTGCTGTCTTGCTTTTTCTGTCCATGTGTTTGCTCTCTGTGTCGTATCTGGAAAGGCGCTTGTCGTCCAAGTCCGGTTTGGAAACCCACCGAGCCCTGCGGTTCACCCTGGGCGGCTGCCGTTTCCTTCCCTGGCTCTGACCCGGTCCCGGGGAGCCTGAGGCTGGTGGATGGTGCCCTTTCTGCAGGTTGCCTGTGCGGGGCCCTGCAGCAGCTGGGGGGGGGCCAGGGCTGGGTCTCAAAGAGATGTGTGGAGGGAAGCCTTGAGGGACACTGGAGGTCCCTGTTGGCAGCACTAGCAAGCCTGTGGAGAGTTTGGAGAGCCCAAGGCACCCTCTCCCACTGCAAGGTTCCTTGCACGGCTTAACATTCCTTTAGCTGGAGAACTGGCCTGGGAGTGGCTTCAGACATAACGATGGAGCAGTGAAGGGCATATATCAAAGTACGCGTATCTTTTCACATATGCGTGCGCAAACATATACTTTTGTACTTTATTATCTGTTGTGTGTGCTTTATGTTCTTTATGGATTGGTACGCATCTGTGCATCAAGTCTGTTAAGTTATATGTAGTTTTTTGTATTCAGTAAGATCAAACTGTAAGCAGCACACGGTAGTAAAAACTTAAGCACCCAAGACCTCCCGAGTGAGTCCTAAGGGCAGTGGACTGTCTCTGTCAGAGACTTATAAATTCTTGGTGGACATTGCAGATGGGAGACCCTTCCTAAGCGGATGCTAGTCTGTTCTGGCCGCTGTAACAAAGTGTCACAGACGGGGGTGCTTAGACAGCAGACATTTGTCCCTCACAGTTCTGGAGGCCCCAAATCAAGATCAGGATGCTGAAGGATTCGGTTCCTGCTGACAGCCTGCTTCTTGGTTCATAGGTGGCTGTTTTGTCTCTCTGTCCTCATGTGGGTGGGGGTGGGGGCTCTGGTGCCTATTCTTATAAGCTCAGTAATCCCATCATGGGGGGGGCTCCATCATGATCTCATCAAAAGCTGATTAATAATTATATTAACATGTCACACGTGTATGTTGTGAAGTCTAGACATTACTGCATGTGTTTTATACATGGTATATATTTAGTAAATTAAAAAAAAATTTTTTTAATTTATTTTTGAGAGAGATAGAGCATGAGTGGGGGAGGAGCAGAGAGAGAGGGAGACACAGAATCTGAAGCAGGCTCCAGGCTCTGAGCTGTCAGGACAGAGCCCGATGTGGGGCTCGAACTTGTGATCTGTCAGATCATGACCTGAGCCAAAGTCTGACTCTTAAGCGACTGAGCCACCCAGGCGCCCCTATATTACTTTAGTAAATTAGCAGAACCCAAGAGGGGGTCCTGGGAACCTCGAATCTATACCAGCTCCGTCAGAGGCTCTGGTGACAACCTCTCCTTGCTAGGGCCATCTAATTTGATGGTAGCAGGAACAGCGTTGGAGACTTCCCTGTGACTTCCCCTGTGAGATCCGACGCTGACTCCCGGTATGTGTGTCAGCATTGGGTTTAACTGCAGGACACCCACCTGCTGTTAGATTTGTGCGAAAACCCACAAATAGGCATGGGTGTCAGAATCGTGCTCTCCAGTGTCTTCCCTCCAAGTACCACCCCACTGGAGATTCAGGGTTCACCCTATGAATTTTGGGGGGGGAGGAACCCCCAACACCCAGTCCATCGTAGAGTGTTACCATTTCCTTTGCCATCCAGTTATATTCAGGTTTGATAACTCACGCCCTTCGTTACCCGGCTGGGGACAGATGACTGAACGCGCTGGTTTACGGCTGTAACGATCACCTAGACATGCCTCCGAAGACTGGAAGGCAGCGCTGTGTAGACCTCCACACCGCAGTGTGCACGCGGGTTTGTTTTCCCTCTGAGGTGGGCGTGAGCCAGATAACACAGCAAGGGAAGGCTCACGCATGTTCGAGGAGACTTTAAGGTGGCTTCCCGGGCCCTCGCGTGTGCATAGAGATGCAGTGAAGTAAAGTGCAGGAACCGCTCGCCTGCATACCCCTGGTCCGGAATCGTCCCCGCCCGCCCCGCCCCCCGCCGGTGCTCTGTTGATATTTGGGGCAGGGAAAGTTGACGTGGGCCGAATCATGATTTCCAAAAGTCACGGGGTCAAGTCCCAGCCCCCAGCACCTCAGAATGCGGCCGAATTCGGAGGCAGAACCGCTCGCCTGCATACCTGGGCTTCTAGCCCGTGGTACTTCGTGATGGCAGACGTAGCAGATGGGCACAATCCTTCTGTGTGGTGGGGGGCCGTCCTGTGCGCCGCAGGTTTTTAACAGCATCCCTGGTCTCCTCCCAGTAGATGCCAGCAGCACCTCCCAGTACTTGTGTCTGTCCGTCTGTGTCTGTCTGTCTACCTATCCATGAAGCCGTCCCTCCAGCCGCACATCCATCCACGCATGCACACACACGTATGCGCGCACACAGCCTGGCGTCCCGTTCTGGAGTCCAGCCGCGTAGGGAAGCAGGAGGGCAGGTTCCGATGTTCAGAAGTTCTGGACCGTATGTGCAGTACCTTTCAGCCTAGGTAGACTCCCGTCGACTCCAGGAACT